TATATATATAATACAGTGGTTATTTTAATAAAGTCAATTAGAAGTTTTATTTAGAGAAAAATTTTTAAACTTTCATAACAATTTCCTAATTTAAAAATTTTTGAAAGAAAAAGAAAACTGAAAGAAAATATAATTATATATTGACTTTAAATATAATAATGACTTAAATTAATATAAAAAATAATTGCAAATTTATTTTGTCATTTCTCATTTCTAGAACATCTACAATGAAAATAATTGAGATTTTCATTCCAATATGTAAATTTTGAATTATTTTCATAAAAATTTCTGAAATTTTTATATTGTGTTCTCAATAATAATATTTATTCAAAATATGGTCATTTATTTCATGGAATAATGTTAAATTTTCCTGATCATCTACATTTTCTGATTATTTATCATGCTTGAAATACTCCATTGACCTATACATTTTTCTGCAATTGTCATATTCCTCTGTCATATGCATTCTGTAATCCATTGTTTGATAGGTCATGCTTATATATATGACTGTACAGTAGACCCCCCTATAACACAGGTTCATATAACAAGGATTCGTATAACATGGCAAAAAAATTGCGAACGTGTTCATATAACACGCTAAAGGAGACTCGTATAACACGGTAAAACATCATCGCCAACTCGTGTCGTGACAGGATTGGTCAAATCTAGACCAATAGCGGACATTGCACAAACCGTTTAAACAAGCAGCATACCTACTAAAAACCATTTATTATTTAAACGGCCATAAAAATTATATTTATATTAATAATGTCTCCAAAGTTCAGTAATTTTTTTGCAGAAAAATAACTTATCAGGAAACACGTGCCCGCCGTTCGATGAGCCGCTCCATGACGAAAACAAGCTTAAGTAACGGTGTCTTCGAATGGTGCGCACTCAGTAAGTAATCTACAATTTGTTGTTTATAGCATAGTTTATATGGATTATTTCCAAAAAATTATACGTGATTTAGAAATGTTGAGTCAAATTAATCTAGAATCGATTAATTTTATGAAAGAAAACCTTTCAAACTACCATAGTCCGTAAACTGCACACGTGCTGGGCTGTGATTGGCTCATGTATTTAAGTGACTCATACAACACGGAATTTATATAATACGGAACGTATCTACCGTGTTATAGGGGGTCTACTGTACTTTCTTTATTCCATTTTTGACTTGTTCTGCCCCACAGGCATTAAATGGGTCTTTTTCTCCCTACCCATCAGAGGTTCAGTCAAATCCAAAATGAGAATGACTAGGTGGGGAGGGACAAAATCTAAACAGAAGGGACAGACCACCTCCAAAAAATTTCAAAAATTTTTCATCCCCGATTCAATTCTGAGTCCTTCAAGTAGTAGGTTAATGTATTAACAGCCTCAGCCATTGAGCTGCTTATGATTATAGCTAAATCAATAATATCTTAAAGTATGTTTAGATATACATCCATAAATTATTTACAATAGATATAATATGTGTTTGTTGATTAAAAATTTATATATACTTATATAAGATGATTCAAAACTTAGTAAATTCAATTAACTTTCTTATAACCTGCTTAACTGATTTTTGAACCATTCTAAATAACAATGATCATAAAATTAACAAAGTTGTCATTTAATTTTTTATGGTATGACGTATCATTTCTGTGTATGCAGACTAAGAAGCTCTTCAGAAGTTATTTCAGTAATTTTACAATAACTGAATTTATAATATAAAGTAACTTAAATCTTAAAATACTTACACAGTTCGTGGACCATTTAATGCTGCAACAGCAGGTCCAAAAGTCCTTTGCAGTGTGTGATTAAATAATGGAGATTTAATGTGATAATTTATAGCGTCGATTAACGGTTGGCAAATATTCTGCTCTGGTGGCTTAGACGGTCCCACAATAGACTGATTACTGGTGGCGGCAGATGATTCTGACTGAAATAGATCACCATCAAATAAAAATTCCTATAACCACATGCTGTACTAATTCTAAATTATTTACCGCCGTTACTTTAAATTCCAGTCTCTCTAAAACTTGCTCACACTTCAGTAAAATGTCCATTGAACATCTGAAATTATAAAAAACAAAATAATTGTTAATACATGAGTAAATGTTCCATATTTGATTAAATTTTTATGTATAATTGGAAAAAGCAACAGGTATTTGCATTCTTAAACTCTAAATTCATAATTTTTATATTTATATTTTACATTTTTATGGATAATGCTTTTCATTATAGGAAAGTTTTATATGTTATTATTTACAAAAAATTTACATTAGGTAAAAAAAATCATATTTATATACAGAATAATTAACTATATTTAGTTTAAACTTAATAATAATAATAATAATAATAAATTGCAATTTACATAAATCATAATAATAAACAATTTGTTTAAAAGATAAATAATATTAAACTGAAATAATTAAAAAGCTCTTTTGCTCAAATATAACTTGATCTTCTTCAGTTGATGCTGTTTCCAAATGAATCAAATTGAAAATTCAAATGCTTAGGTTCAGACAATTAAAATGTTCTTCATGACAGTGCTTTTAATTAATTACTTTATTTCAATATTGTTTATCCTTTAAAAGAATTGTTTACTATCCTGGATTATATAAACTGTGTTTTTTGTGTTGATTCTCTGCAAGATGAAGTTAATTTAGTATTTACTAATTATAATCTTCATTTACCTAATTTTAAGATAAAATGCTTTTCTAAAACAAAAATGAAATAAATGAGAAGTTTTATAAATAATATTGCTAGTGTTTTATTTATAGTTATAAATTTATATGCTTGAAAAATATTTAAGTAATTTATAAATAATTATAATGTATTCTAGAATTTATTAAAATAATATATGCAAATTTGTTCAAACAAATATTACCAAATATGTAATTTGTCAATTACAATAAACAGAACAGTATCCAGATGGCCAAAGTATTAAGGACACCATCCTACCAATCCAAAGAATCTAGTCATATACAAAGATTATTCTCTATATAATCAGGTCAAATCACAAAGTTGTGTATATATATCACATCCTCACTACTTAAGTCACCCAGTGCAAGCCTATACAAATCCAAGATAATTATTCCTTTTGCATAAACATCTTATTACTCAAAACAAAGTTTTAAAATATAAAATTTATTTTCTTTAATTGGGCTGCAATTTGAAAAAATTGTAGACCTATAAATTCCTACTGTCGTCTGTCCATCCATCTTTCCTTAATCTCAAGAACAAAGTTAGATAGATTAAAGACGAGATCAAATATGGAAACTTAAGGAACAAGAGGCCCTAATTAACTATATATGAACTTCCAATACAAACAGGAAGTCATGTTATTTCTATTCAAAAATTTTCCCCTGAAAGGTGTTAGACCAAGGGTTGCCAAACTTTTTGGAATACTTTATCACATGAACACTGATATTTCTGACTTATAAATAATATCTTTCCTTTTCATATAATCTAACATGGCATTTTATGTTAGATTATTTTCTATGACAGTTATTGAATATTAGATGATTGTGTTAGTTTTTTTCTTATTGATAAGCATCATTATGGTTTTTAGAATTCCTAATTTTAGAAAATTAATCTGCAATTTAGAAATTCTGAAACATTTTTAACTGAGCATCACATATCAAAAGTAACAAGAAACACTTTTTCCCCTCATTCACTTTAATTAATATAAGTAAACTCTATTCATACAATATAAAAAAATATTCATAATTCCTTGCATTTCCAGAAATAGGAGCATTTACATTCACCAAAATTTAATAATAATTAAAAAATAATAATTGAATATGTTAGAAACCTCTCTTCTTAAATGAGAATTGAAGTGTCTCATAAATGTTACAATTTTATATTGAAAAATTGAATTACCTTTTATTAGGATCAGAAAGAATATCCAATAAATGCTTCATCTTGCTTAATTCTTTTTTACGTTCTAAAATAGTTTCATAATCAGAGTTTTTATTTTTAGTTAAGATAAGCATAATAATAAATCTTTAAACATATATTAATAATTAAATAAAATATTTTAAAAATATCTATTATAATATCAAAAGATCTTTAATTTGTTAAAAAGCATATACAGTAGAACCTCGCATAACGAGTGTTTCACATAACAAGCAAAACAAATTGTAAAAAATTGCCTTGCTTAACTAGCGATGTTTCGCATAATGAGTGACAAATAGAGGGAAAGTCTCAAATTGTGCGCATGCTCCAGCAATCTGTGTTCAGCATGCATTCCTCTAGCATCTTAGTGTCTCATGTGATCACACATTTTTCCAAACTTGTGATCACACAAATTACTTTTAAACATCAACAACCATAGCCCGTTATATAATAAACACGCCAAATGGTATACCAAATTCTTGGGCTATGTACAGGCTATAATTAATTATTAAGAATTAATTAATTTGACTATAGGTAGACAGTTATGCTGCCATCTCATATTAAATTTAATGACCAATTCCAAATTAAATTTTAGAAATATCGTAATTAAAAATTAACTATTTATAATTATTAAATTTAATACGAGATGGAAGCATAATTGAATACTTCTAGTGAAATTAATTAATTTCTAATATTTAATTATAGCTTTTACATAGCCCAAGAATTTGGCATATCGTTTGGAGTGTTTATCAAACATATTATCAATGATTTTTTTGTTTTCTGCAAATCAAATTCTCATTCCAGGTTGGTTCATTCTGTGCTAGAAGAAATAATGATGATGATTCATGCTCCTTAACAATGCACGTTGTACAATTTTCTTTGAATAAACATTATACATAAAATATTTTAGTATTTTTGCGGCACAGAACACATTATCATATTTTACATTAATTTCTATGGGAAAAATTGTTTCGCTTAACGAGTGTTTTGCATTACAAGTACGATTCTGGAATGAATTATGCTCATTAAGTGAGGTTCCACTGTAATACCAAAATTTTCTCAAATATATAATTCAAATTCCTTAAAGAATGTTTAAAGACCAATAACAACTTTGAAATAATCAGAAAATGTTATTTTATTAAAATTTAAATCTATTATGAATATATGCTGTCAACAACAATTATATATAAAATTATAAAATAAAATTTTTATAATAATAAGTAATTAAAATTAAATTAGATGTAATTGTAAAGAAAGAACTTAAGTCAAATAAATTTCTTACATCCTCAATTGCAACTTATTTTAATAAGTGATTGTATATAATAAAATTTTAAATTATAATATACAGTAGAACCTTGATTATCCGGATCTCTATTATCTGGATTTTCGATTATCTGGATTGTTCAAAATAAACAAAAATTTTACGAATTTGCTGATTTGCACTTGGTGAATTACGACACGGTTTATATACGTGATGGAATGCATAACTTTTTTTGTTTCAACAACGTCTCACCCATCACAGTGGTCGTAAACTCTTAAATATATTTTACGTAGTAATAAAAATATAACTTGACATACGCATTTATAAATAATTTATATTCAAATTACATCATTTCTATGACCAAGGGCGGCGTAAGGCATGGACGACGTGGGCCACCGCCTATGCCTCGCGGTCCGAAGGGCCTCGCGCCTCGAAGGTTTA